CCTTCCAACAACTCTTCTACAAAAAAAAAAAAAAAAAAAAATTAAGCTCGACTGAAAAAGAAGCAGAATAACGAAACCGGCATAACGATGATAAATCAACGTCAATCGAACGGGGGGCAGAGGGGGGGGGGGAGGGGAAACGGCTCATCGATGCACGTTCGCTCGTTCGTTCGTTCGTTCCATTTATCACTCGATTCCCCGCGTGTCGTTGAACGTTCAACGTCGGCGTTTACGCTTCCCTAAGTCGGGCGTGTACACCCTCCTCTCTTATCCCGGCGAAAGAGCGCGCACGAAGAAGAAAATAGGGGCACGAGAATACGTAACAACAGGCACGGTACACACCATCAAGTGCAAGCGAAAAAAAAAAAGGGGCCTGGCTGGCTGGCTGACTGCTCGACGATCCTCGTCTGGATGACTGCTAACGATTTCCCGCCGCGTTTCCTCGCCGCTGACTCGAGGGGGTTGTGGCCAAAGTGCCGTTTAACTCGCGCGCACTAAGCCGCCAAGTGCATCGATTCTCTGAGCCCGCGTTTGAGTTGGACGATTTTTTTTTTTTTTCACTCGTTCGATTGAAAATATAAAACCAGTGTCGTACCCGAATTTCCCCTCGGAACGATCTTTTGATTTAGAGTTATTCGCGTGCAAAAAGAAAAAAAAAAAAATAGAAAAAAACAAAAAAAAAGAAAACGATTGGAAATCATAGGATGAACGTTGGTTCGAACGTGATATATATATATATACATATATATTTTTTGGAACTTCTTATTTTGTTTTTTTTTTTTTTCTTAAGTTATGCAAAGATGTGCAAATTAATAAATGATGCGTTTCAATGAAGTATCTTTTGCGCGCGCGTGTATGTGTGTATTTGTGAGAGAGTGAAAATTTTTGATCGCAAATTTTTTTTTTGCGCGCGAATTGTAGTTTGCGGCAATATTCCAATATTTGGAACTCGATTAAACGTACGTTATAATTTTTTGAAATTATATAAAAAACACGTAAATTAATATGTCGCGTTTCAACCAGAGAGAGAATCGTTTGATTCGCCAAGTACGTTGATGTCGCGTTCCTGCCAGGCGATTTTTTGCTTCTTTGATCAATCGAGCCGAGTATAAAATTACATCTGTACGATTGGATTTAGATCAAGTGGAAAGTGAATTTTCGATCTCGAATGTTATTATTCGTTTGGAAAAAATTAAAAATCGTAAATTTAGTACAGATTCAGTATTTAAGTTATTCATGGTAATTTTAATTTAATCAACGTTAAAAGCTAACGTTGCTAGCACCAAATTAACTTACACACCTAATAATTCTATTATCTATATAATTTGTTTCGTTAATTACTCCTCTTACTCCACCAACATCTCCTATCTCCCCTCCCCTCTCCCCCCTCCCCCTCAAAAAAAAAACTCTCTTGACTGCAATTATTAAAATTACACGCTTTAACGAGACTTTTTTATTCTATTATTTTCCCTAAACTTTTTACAAAAAAAAAAATTGGTCGCAATTATTAAAATTACACCATCTTTAACAATCCTCCGAATCCTGGAAACGAATCATTCGATTGAAAATTTTCGAAATTAATCAAAAATCCCGCTTCAAAATTTTCTTCCTTCCGACGTCACGCGAGGAAGAACGTGCAGCTAATTACCGCCGCAGGTGATTTTTCTTTTACTCTCTTCCCTCAGTCGTACCTATCACAGCACATAGATTCGAGAGACGATTCTCGACCGATAAAATCCATCGTCCATCGTTCTCGAACGAACGATCTTTATTTTCAAACAGATGGACAGGCGTAGTGGAAAAAAAAAAAAAACAAAGAACTTGCGTTGTATAATCGACACGATTAACACGAGCGACGAACACGCGTTGGAATCGAAAAGTGCATCGACGACGACGAGTTCTCACGGCGATCGATACCCCCACAGAACTAATTATATAAAGCGGTTGGTGGCGGTTCTTGCGAGAAAAATTCTCGTCCACCTACGGGGACACGTGGTACACTGGCCTATCGAACGAATCCACGACCACGAAGGCGTGGGCCCAGCCAGAGGCGCATCGTGAAACGTGGTGGCCTCCTCTCTAGGGGAGCGATCTATCCGGCAGAGTAAACTCGATTTTCGATCGAGCATTTTATTCTTTTTTAAATTTAACACGTTCACGCTGTGCATTTCAACTCAGAATCACTCGAAAACTTCTCCACTTTAATGGGAATATATTATTGAAAATTTGTAATTATTAAAAGCAATTAGGTTCTTTTTATCGCCACAATAAATGTATCGATTGAATGATTTCACGATTGCCTAACGATAGTCAACGGTGTTAAAAATTAAAGTTCCGAAATCTTTGGAACAGTGAACGTTTTCTTTTTTTCAGTCGAGGAACCAAAATCCAAAGTGCTCATTTGGCAAAGTCAAACATCGAGGAGGAATTCCTTTGTGTGAAAAAGTAAATCGAGAAACGTGAATCTGAGATTTCCTTCATCTTTCTGAAACTTTAATAGGAATCAAAACCTTATAATCTTCCCTTTAAAAACTGGCGGCTTATCAAAATTTAAATCGTAGAAATTGCGAATTTCAAAGAGATATCCCTAATACAATAAAATAAATTTAATCAACTAGTCGATTTTACGATAAAAATGATAAAAAATGATATATATATATATATATGTATTTGGACGAATGACAATAATAGAATAACGAAAAATGATTAAGCCACCACCATTGATCAATCGTTTCACATATAATTATCCATCTTCGCATAGAGGATAGGTCGTATGACAAAATGGAGTTTATCACGCGACTTGGACGTAAAAGATAAAAATCGTAGGATGAAAACACAGCGAAAATTAATTGGCTAATAATTAAATAGTGTTTTAATGACATTTTGCAACGCAAAGAAAATTTCATTCTCAATATTAATCGAGTAAAATTCACTAATTCCCATTAATAGAGAAAATCGGAATCCAAAAATTGAAATTAATTCGAATACATTCTATCTTCGCCCAATTTTATATCCGTATAAAAATATAATTCCACCATCTTTATCAGGCACAAATATATAACGAACGAAGTGAAATTAGAACACAAGTTATAAATCATAACTCGAAGATCGATCTTTCCATTTCTCGCGTCTAATTCGAATTGTTCCTTTTGTCGACTCCTTTCGAGAATCGGCAGGAAACTTTTCAAGGATCGTGAAACAGCGCGGCAACGGCGATCGTCGCCTGTAATCGAGCCGCAATTTCACCGAGGCGATAACGGTCCGGTTAGATTCACGCTCGGTGCGAGCGCCGCACGGTTCGTTGGATAAAAATCAGTGTACTACGTGAAACTCGAACGTTGTTAACCGTGTAATTACGCGTAACAGTAGTCTAACGTGGTGTTCGGGAGCAATTTCATGCGGTTCCCCATCGATCCTGTGTGAAAGTTAACCGATCACTGGCGGCGAGACCCAGGTGTACGCGTATCGACTTCGAGCAGGGGATACGGCTGTAACTGGTCGGACACGTGAATTTCGCGTGGACGAATGGGGCACGATTCTACTCATCTCGTAAATACGATGTGAAAGGATATGATGATTTCTTTTTTTGAAGAAGAAAAAGAAGAAATTGTTCTTCTAAGACTTTAAAAATAATTAGAGATATCGATTTTCTTCTTAAATAGAGAATTTAATTTGAAGAATTAAGTAAGGTGATTATTTTAGTTCCCGTGTGAAACTAATCTTCTATTTTCTTTTATCAAATGAAGGAAAATCCAATTGTAGAAGGTTGAAAATATAATTGTAATATTGCATGTATATCTAAAATTGCTAAATTTCACGATAATTCTTTCCTCAATAACGACTTCAACTTCGGGAAACCCCTAAAAATCCCTCTTCGCCCGACGAATAATAAAACTTTGAATAGTAGATCGCGGTTAAAAATTTCCCGCGGTGAAAACGTTTCGCGACCTAAAATTTTTATGTCGCTTCCACCTCTAACGAAAGAGTTATAAAATTCCAGAACTGCGGTAACTTCGCTGTCCGTCAGAAACTTGATATAATCTCGGTTCTTTTATATCCATCCATTTTGTCTATTGAGAAAAACTTGAAAAAAAGGAGAGAGAGAGAGAGAGAAGTAAAAAAAAAATTTTTTTCTGAAACTGCGACGTTGAATTACACAGAAACGCAAGGGATGAGATTTCCAGATCGGTTTTAGTATCACGTTCACGTTCGGAAAAAAGGGAAAAGAAACAAACGACACTCGACAAACGAGCTGAAATCGTAGAAGGAGGACGGAAGGATCGAAGAAAATATCTAACATTTTCTTTCTACCAAGCTTTGCAATCCTAACGCGATAGCGGATTTTCTCTTTGACCAGCACCCGGAACACTCGGCTAGCTTATATATTTGGTGTGACAACAAAAAATATATATATATATATATGTATGCGTGTATTATGTATATGAAAAAAAAAAAAGAAGAAAAGAAGAAGAAGAAGAAGAAAAAGAAAAGAAAATAAAACGCGAACACGAAAACAAAAGATTGGTACGCGTAAAATGGTAGTCGCGTCACGATAAAAATCGATACGAATGGGAGAAGCAAAAACGAGGAGAAAAGAAAAGACGGAAATCGTAATAATAATCGTCTACAAGTGCATTTAAATTAGGCAAATTCGCCCCGTTCCATCCGATAATAATAAATAATAAGTTTTGCGTATACCGTGTTATTGTAACATAATATAATATAATAGATATGCGTGTACGTCTGTGTATTGTGTGGTACATAATAATAATAAACTCATATGTTTGTGTCCCCGTTCGTGTGTATATGTGTATATGGGTATATTGTGTATTGCGTGGTAATACAATAAACAGTGAATAACACATATATAAAATCATTAAAACGATAAAACAAAATAAAATAAATTATATCCAATATATTAATTAATATACTTAATCATCTGCGTAATATATTAATATTCTGGTTATTATATATATTATATATATATATATATTATTATTATTATTATTATTAAATTATATATTTATATTATATATCGGTATATGCGTGTTCGATAGTAGCCGACTTAACTATGCAAAGTGCCCCTTTCTGCAAAAGAGAGAAGATCGACGGTAATATCATTTGATCACAATGTAACGGTTTGGCTCTTTGAATAGCTAACGGACTCGACGTACCAATTGTATCGACGTGTTACCCAATACGACGAGTTACACGATTCTCTAAATTCTTCGAAACACACTCTTTTTAACCCTCTCATCTCTACATCTACTTTTTCCTTCTTCGTCCGTCCGTTCGTCGTTCGTAAATAATGTTCACCCTATTCTAATTCGCGCACGCGAATTCGAATCCAAGCGTATATGTGGTGCAACGCGTAACGTCTGGACGCATGCGCGACACGGCCCACCCCCCGGTTATCTCTTATTTCTTTCTTTTCATCCCACTATATTTCCTTCTGTTTTTTTTCTTTCTTTCTCTCAGAATCCTCCTTATTTATCATTAATATAATTATTATTATTATTATTATAATTATTATTATAATTATTATTATTATTATTATTATTATTATTATTATATTATTATGTGTAAGGAAGTAAATATATATATGTATATATAAATTTTCTTTCCTCGCGTAAAAACAAACAAAGAAGAA